GCCGCTCACTGGCTGAGCGAGGTGTGGGAGCAACACCGAGGGTTGCGATCCCGTTGCCGGTCCCCGGTCCGGTACGGGCGCGACACTGAGGGTTGCGATCCGTTGCCGGTCACGAAAAAAAAAAAAAAAAAAAAAAAAAAAAAAAAAAAAAAAGAAAACATCACTCTGGTAACTGAGAGGGAACTGACAAAAGGGAGCCGATGGTGCATGCGAGAGGTCAGGTTGGTGGCTGCTGGGGCCATCTAGGCACCCAAAGGTGTCGTGGCCTAAGCTGGTGGCATGCCATGCCATCCTCACAGCAGCCTCATTTTACAGATGAGAAAACCGAGGCTCAGAGAGATGAAGTGGCTTGCCCAAGGCCTCAGGCTTGTGTCTGGCTCGAGGCTGGCGGCTGTGGCTACAGTCCTTGGTCATTACAATTGGCACAGGTACTTTCTCTTGGCTCTCCCAGGTGCTTTAGGGCCTGGCAGTGGTTCGCGCAAAGAGGGGCACGGTACCGGGATCACCTGGCTGACCGCCGGGTGGGGATCCTGAGGACATGCCTGAGACAGTGGCTGCAGATGAAGCAGCTCCGGGCCTCAGATGGGGCAAAGGTGACCCAGCTGACCCTCTGCTGGCAGAAGGCGGGTGAGCGAGTGGCAGGCTGAGGGCCTCCCACCCCTGCACACTCTGTCCCTTAAGCTCCTTCTTCATGGCCCCCAGTTGAATTTCTGGATTTTTATGTTGGGAGGTGATAGAACTGGGGGCTTTCAGGGAGTGCAGCCTGCCTGGCCTGGGACGGGTCCCTGGAGTGGGCAGGACATGGCTGGGCCACCTCCCCACCTCCCATGGTGAGCTACTCTGGGCACAAGAGACTGTTCCATGCCTCCCCCTGCAGGCTCACTTAGCGCTGGGTTATCCCACATCCCACCCAGAGGGAAGTGTTCCCTGCTCTCAGGAAGCTCTTGGTCTGATGGGGAACACACAGCCCTGTCTCCCACCCCTAAACCTATCTGGGGATGATGGGATCTTTGAGGCATCCCAGAGAAGAGGATTTGGAGACAGTGGCAGGGGGCAGTGCCCATGAGGGGGGAAGTCCCAAGGGGGCCCTGAGGCAGCAGCTACCAATGGCTTTGGGTAGAGGGAGTTTGGGGAGGATGTGGCTGACTCATCTCCTGACTGCTTCTCAGGTTACCCGGCCCTCTGCAGCTCAGCCCCTGGAGCTATCACGGTGCCCCAGGCTCAGGGGCTGCCCCAGGAGCAAAGCCAGGGCTCCCTGCAGGAAGCCTGCCGGAGACTGGCCCTCTGCCGGGTGCTGCTGCTCTGGAGGACACGGCTGTCCCACAGCCAGCGGGCCAAGTAAATGTCAATGAGCTGGTAACCTAGGTGGGCCTGAGGGCACAGGATGGGTGCATGAGCTGGGCTCAGCACCAGGAGGAGTGTCCCATAGGGCCCGGCACACTGTGGTGCCCTGCAGATGCCACACCTCAGGAGGTGGCCTAGGGACAGGAGACAGTGATTGAGCAGAGAGCCGCTGGGGGCCATGGGGTCACAGACACAGAGCTCTACCAAGGTGGCTGGAACCTGAATGGAACTGCCTCTTGCCCATCTCCCTGCTAGGGGTGAGACCCCTGGTGGCAGGAAGCATGTCTGTCTCCTTACCACTGGCTCCCCAGCACCCATCAGGTGCCTGGCATGTTGGTGGCACAGAATAAATGTTGTAAACGACTGAGTGAAGGAGCCAGGGAGCAGAGATCTTCCCCTTCCCCTTTTGCTCCATTACACAGCTAGAGAAACTGAGGCTAAGCGGGGTCGAGCAGCTTGCTCTAAGTCACACTCTGAGTCAGGAGCAAGAAGCTCCCCATAGTGAGACCGTTATGGTGCTTCCTTTATGCACAATGGTTGTTGCTGGGTTTAGAGCCCAGTCTGATGGTGGAGGGGGGGGGAAGAGAGGGGGCAGGAGCATCACCACGGTCTGAGAATGTGGCTCTCCCTAGCCCAGCCCGTCCTCTGGCCTCCGAGCATCAGGGCACAGTCTTCATCTCCCTCGGTGTACCCGGGGCTGCCCTGCTGGCCTGACATGAGTCCCAGGTCTGCTGCTTTTGGAGTTTTGTGAAATGACCTTCCCCCAGGCCTGATTTCCTCTCCTTGTAATTGAGCAGAGGCAGGAGCACTGGCCTGGTTGTGCATGAGGGGCTGGGGTCCGGCTCCATCCCAATCAGCTGCAGGCCCCCCCCACCCCAGAAGAGTGGACAGGATCCGCCAGGTGGTGCAGGTGACCAGCCTTAGCTGCTGCCCCCCCCACCCCAGAAGAGTGGACAGGATCCGCCAGGTGGTGCAGGTGACCAGCCTTAGCTGCTTCCTAGTCATCTAGGGAGCTCTGGAAAAGTCCAGAAGCCCAGGTTGCACCCCAACCATTAAGTTAGAATCTCTGGGGGGAGGACCCTGGTGGGCACTGGTATTTCTTGAAGCCCCCAGTGATCCCAGGGCAGCCAGTTTAGGAGGCGGTGGTGCAGAGCTCTGGCCTACGGTGAGCCCCCTTCCAGCTCAGATCTTTCACAGTGGCTACGGGGTGATGCTGGGGCCCAGGGACTCACCTGCCCCTTCTGTAGCTCCTTTTTCCAGGGCTTGCAGCAGCGGACTCTGCAGCACATCCTGAGGCAATGGCGCTTGAGGGTGTGGGGTCCAGACACCTCATCAGGCAGTGCCAAGACCGCCTTGGTCCTGGAGCCACTGGGCAGCATCCCAGGAGGGGAGGCCTCGCTGGGCTGCAGCACACCCCAAGGCTCGCTGGAGAAGGTGAGGGGCGGGGGAATGGGGAGGGGCTGGGGCAGATGGGTGGGGGGTGTGGGGCCAGGGAGGGATCAGGGGACCCAGGACTCCACACCTCCTTCCCCAGGCTCCCAGAGCCCCCGGCCTCCTGGAGACACTCTGGGTGAGCTTTCTGTGGGCAGCTGGCCGGCAGCAGCAGGGGCAGTGCCTTCTGTTCTGGCGGGCACGGACCTGGCAGTCCCGGGACGCAGCGAGGTGGTGCCAGCGCACCCTCCAGAGGCGGTAGGGACCCCTCCCCAGGACGGTGAGCCATGCTGCCCACCACTCTGTGGATTTACTGATTTCCTGCCTCTTCTTCCGTCCGTCCTTGGCCTTCACCACAGCATCCCCTTGGGGTCTGTTTCCCAGGGGGCTTCCCTCTCACAGCCCGGTCAGCTTGGCCCAGAGCAGATCCTTTCCACTCTTCCTGTCCTCCTGCCCTGACATGCTGAGAGGGGTGGGGGTGGCGGTGAGGCGCTCTGCAGGGTCATTGTTTCTCTCGATTTCTCACTGTGGCTCATTCATTCATTCATTAGTAGCACATGCATAAGAATCGGGCTGCCTGGGTTCTAATACCAGCTTTGCCCCTCACTGGCTGTGTGATCTTGGACACGTTGCTAAACTTCTCTGTGCCTCCATTTCCCTGTCTGTAAAGTAGGGGTAATAATGTGCTCCTTCTAATGGGGCATCAGTGAGGTAGGGGCAGATACGTGCACTAGCACAGTGCCTGGCACGTAGCAAGTGCTTAGTCCATAGCAATGTTTATGGCTGACTGAGCACAGGTCTTGGTATTGGGGGTCTGGGGCCCCATCCTATCCCTACCACCTGTCACTGTGACCTTCAGAGAGGTGTTTGGCCCCTCCAGTCCCCAGCAACCCACCCTCTCCCATGATGGAAACGGGGAGAAGAGTTGCTCCCAAGCCTCTCCCTGCTGCTGAGGGGAGGAGGGGGAAGGCTGAGCTGGCCTGGGTGGCAGTGACCCTCCTCAGCGTGGACACCCCCTTTCCTAGAGTCCTTCTCAGCTGGAGCCACTGGGCAGCGGCCCAAGAGGCCCGTACAGAGCTGGCTGCCCGCTGGGCCTGGGATCAGAGCTGCAGGGCTGCACTGGGCCTGTGGTGGCGGCGACTGGTGCAGTGGCGGGAGGCAGAGCAGCGGGCCCAGGAGCACAGCCAGGGACTGGCACGAAACGCCCTGCACTGCTGGCACTCCCACTGGCAGAGTGAGTCGAGGACTGGGCTGGGGGAACTGCAGGTGAGGGAAGGGCCAGGGTCCATCGGTGAGACCCAGGATTCCATATACTTTGCACAGAGTCTGATGTGGGACCCTCATAGGGCACATGGGGGACTGGGGTGGCAGAGCAGAATCCAGGGCTTGGACTCTGTAGTCTTGAGTTCGAGTTCCTGCTCTTCCATTCCCTTCATGTTCCCTTAAACAAGCTTCTTAATGTTTCTGGGTCTCAGCCTACTCATCTGTAAAATGGGGATAATGTAGTGCCCCTCTCAGGGTAGTTGTGGGGATGCTCTGAGACTATCCACGTAAGGTGCCTGGCTGAGGACCCAGTTCCTAGTAGGTATTACCAGCAGCAGCAGCAGCTGCAGCTTCACTTTGTCCTTGTCATCCTAACCTGGCCTCCAGGAACCACTGGTCAGAGCTCTGAACTGGGGGGAGAAGTGGGCAGAGTCATGGCGCCCTAAGAGCCCAGCAGTGTACTCAGGGAGGGCCTCCAGGAGGAGGTGGGGAGGGTAGCTCAGCGGGCAGAGCAGTGGAGAGAGAGGTGGAGGCAGTGGGAATGGCACAGGCTGAGGTGGGGAGGAGGGATGGGCCAGATTTGCTGAGGTGGCCGAGGCTGCAACTTGTAAGAGAGGCCGAGGAACACAGCCAGTGAAGCGGGGAGCCAGGCCCCGAGACAGAGGTGCTCCAGGGGTCCTGGCCTCCAGGCAAGAAGAAGGAGCTGGGATTTTTGTACCTCAGTTTGAACCCAGCTAAATCAGGGTCACAGCTCCAGCGGCATCTGTGATCCATTGCATTAGTTATCTATTGCTGTGTAACAAATTACCCAAATACTTACTAGTTTTAAGCCACAAACAAGTTATGTCACAGTTTCCATGGATAAGGGGTCCAGGTGTGGCTTAGCCAGGTGCCGCAGCCTCAAGGTCTCCCATGAGGTTGCAGTCGTCGTCCAAGGCTGCAGTCTCATCTGAAGCCTCAATGGCAGAGGGAGTTCTGCACTTCCAAGCTCACACAGGTGGTTGGGGCAGGCCTTTCCCTGTGGGTCTGTCCACAGGGGCACCCCAGGAATGGCAGCTGGTTTCCCCCAAGGTAAGCAATCCGAGAGGAAGTGAGAGCATGTGCCCAAGCCAAAGCCACAGTCTTTTTATGACCTAAAAGCAGAAGTGGCGTCCCATAGCTTCTGCTGAGTTCTGTGTGCTGGGAGCAAGTCAGTAAGTCCAGCCCATCCTCAGGTGGACAGCGTCACCTGGGACACAAGCACCAGGAGCTGGGGGGTCATTTCAGAGGCTGCCCGCTACAGTGGTGCATTGTATGACAGGCTGCCAGGCAGGGACCTGATTGTTCTGGGAAGCTTGTGTCCTGTTCTCTGGGACGGCTGCTTCTCCAGCCAAGTTCTTGCCCAGCAGGAAAGCTGGCTCAGTGTTGCCAGACCTTCTAGTTTTTCAAGAAAATCTGGAAATCTAGATTTTTATCTGAATTCTCCTGAGTCCTAAACATTGTTAAGGAATTTTTAAAAAACAAAACCCCAGCGACTCTGTGAGCCGGGTTGGCCTGGTTACCAGCAGGACACCTGTAACCAAAGCATTTTAACCCCATAGCAGTTGGGGTGGCCTCCTCTGTTCCCACTTGGGTCGGGGGTGAAGGGTTAACTGATCAGAGGAGAGGCTGGGATGAGCACCACTGGCACTTTGGAGTCTCTCTGGCCTCAGGGCAGCAGTTCCTGCATGGAAAGTACCAGAGGTGGGTGCAGGTCCACCAGCAGGGCCTACGGAGGGCCGCCTTCAGGGGCTGGCAGCAGGCAGCAGCTCGTAGGAGACACACAGTGGCCTGTCCAGAGCATCTCCTATTGCAGAGGTTGGTGGGCCTGGGGGTGGGAGGGTGATGGTCATTCCCACCCTGGGAAAAGCAGGAATAGAGCCCAGGGGATGGGAAGCTCAGCGCATGGCCCAGGCTGGAGGCCTGGGACCTGGGAAAGGGGGGGCATTAAGGGAGACTCCCGCCTGGAGACGGAGGGCTGTGACCACCAGCCTCTCATAATCTGTTTTGGTGGGGTCGGTGGCAAACCCCTGGCTCTAACAAGCCCCAGGAGTGCACCTCCTGATCATGTCAGTCATCTGGTTTCAGAGAACACAAGATTGGTGAGTCTGTCCCTCAGACACCCACCATTGTGCATGTTCCATGAGTCATCACAGCACAGGGAATTCTGTACACAGCTACCAGGAGCAGACAGCAGAAGCTGCACTGAAATAGAGACGTGCTAGCGAAAGGCGCGGATAGTTCATTAGTACATGTTTTAAAGCTAAGCAGAAGGGACAGATGATGCTTCCTTCACAGATCACTGCAAAGTCGCACATGGTCATGTTGTCTCCATAGAGGCACATCTGTGCTGTCACATCTGAGGGGCGTAGACATTTTCTTAGCCTCCAGGCAGTGGGTGATTGTGTCCCTCTTTTCCCTTACGAGGGCCTGGGGGTGTGAGGGGAGGTAGGACGTGGCTGTTGCCCCCAGTAGAGCTGCAGAGGTCCCACCTCCTTCCTGGGCAGATGCCCGCAGAGCCTGAGGCTCACAGATGGGGAGTCAGTGTGTGCCAAGGCCCCTCAAGGAAAACCAGTGCTTGCTTTCACCTGATACTCATCAGTCAGTACATACTTAAGGCACAGGGCTGGCTGTGTATGCAAAACCCTGTATAACATCTGGTACTTTGTGGGGGATTTCAGTATAATTTAGAATAAGTTGACTTGACTCTGAGCCAGCTGGGCTCCTCTCTTGCTCCTGTTCTGCAGCTACTTCTGGGCCTGGCACGAGATTGTGCATGATACAGGGGTGCTCTGGCCCAGCGTCTAGGCTTGCAGGATGGCCAGAGGAGATGGGCACTGGGGGCTGCACACACCATGGGCCAGGAAGCCTGAGTGGCTGCAGACCAGATGGGAGCAGCTCGTCGCCTGGGCCTCCATTGCCCACTGGAGAAGCCGTGTGCAGTGGGGCCGGGCAGACAAGCAGTGCGGGAGGGCCCAGGCCCAGCAGGCCTTCATGGCATGGCGAGTGGCACTGGGCCAGCACTGCAAGGCCCAGCAGCAGGTGGAAGGGAGAGTGCGAGCTCAGGGGCCTTGTGCTGGACTCTGTGGGTGAATGAGTCCCACCTTGGCCAGGTCAGCCAAGCCCACACTGCCTGGAAACTGGGTGCCCAGTGAGTGCCCATGGCCTGAGGGCAGTCATACACTGTGCTTCCAGCTCTGGCCTTGACCTTGGTTTTGGCAGGGGTACAGTGTACTTTGTGGCTGGGTGGCAGGGCAGGGGCTCAGGAGGGTGGTTGGAGGTGACAGGGAGAGGCCATTCTGGCCATTGCAGCTAGTCCTGGGGTCACATCCAGCTCTGCCACATTCTGGGGAAGCCTCTCACATTAACAGTCCTGCCTTACAGGGGCCACATGTATGCAAGCACTCAGCATGGGCCGGACACCCAAAAAACGGGCATCCTCAGGAGGGAAGGGGAGGCAACGTGTAGCTTGCAGGACTGGCCTCTGTCTGCCCCCAAACAGGATGCTTGTCCCTGCTGTGTGACATTCTGCCCCTTCCAGGCTGCTCTCCATGCCCATTTCAGTAGAAGAGGTATGGGACGGGAGGAGACACAGGCATGGGGCTTTGCTTGGAGGGCCCCTTCCCACAGGGCCCTGGGGCGGGCTCCCTGAGGGCTAGATAGGAAGCCCCAACTCTGATGGCCTTTGGTGGGGCTCTGCTCTCTCCTCCAGGGTCCTAGAGGCCTGGGCCCAGTCAGTGACCCAGGACTGTGTCCAGCAAGCTGCTGCCACCCAGCTCTGGCATGCTGGGCTCAGGCGCCTCCTGCAGACCCACTGGGCCCAGTGGCGGACAGTGCTGCTCAGAGTGCAGCTGGAACTGCGTGCTGAGACCCAGGAGGCCCGCACGGTCCACCCCAGGCCCCCGGCTGACTTCAGGCATTGGCCCATGCTAGCCAGCAGAGGGCGCCTCCTGCTGCTGATGGATGCCCCAGCCCCTTGGAAGCAGGTGAGGTGGGACCTGGTGGTTTGGGAAGTCTAAAAATGACTCTTGGGCCACTGGCCTTAGAATCAGTTTATCTCAGCCCATGGTGGCAGGATAGCTGGATGCTTTTCCAGGGGCCTGAGCCTTGCAGACACCATCCCTAGCAGGTTCTTGAACATCCTCCTGGCTCTGGACGACCCTGGTTCCATGAGCACACACTTAACTGAGCACCTACCAAGGGCCAGTCCAGTGCAGGTCTGGCTGCGCAGACGAACGTGCTGGGGTCACAGTCTTTAGGGAGACAGACACCTAAATGTATTATATATCATGGATCAAGATGGGGACACGGGGACGGTAGCAATTTTTTGTTTGTTTCGTACTAGAAAAATGAAATATGCTCATTACAGAAAACTCAGATGTAGATGTAAAAAAAACAAAATTTCTCCAGATCAGAAGCAGTTCTAACATCAGCAAATGGTGATAAGAGGTTGATGGCCTAGCAGGAGGGGAGAGGCCTCCACAAAAGCCAGGTACAAGAAATGACACTGAACAGCAATTGGGGGACATGTTGAGGGGGACAGCCCCAGAGACAACTGGCAGGCAAAGTAGGGTTCCTAAAGATCAACTGGCCAAACCCTTGACCTTGGTGGTGTAATGCACTCTAACCAACTGAGCTAACTGGCCAGCCCAAGAATCCCAGGAAATATGTGATAGATTTTAGGAAGATTCTAAGAAAAAATTGAAGTGGCTTTTGTTTTTTAAAGTGGAATTGAGAGACTAGCTTTGGTTACTTGCAGAATTCACATATATGGGACCATGGCAACAACAGATTCTGGGTCTCAGTGTATTTTATTTCTAGATACGTGTTACTGGTTTTTTTTTGTTTTTGTTTTTTTTTTTGGAGTACTTTTATACTCCCATTTCTGTAAGCAAAGTTAAGGATCTCAGGGCTGGCCTGGTGGCGCACTGGAGAGTGCGCCGCTTGGGAGCACGGCGGCGCTCCCGCCATGGGTTCGGATCCCATGTGGAGACCGGTTCCCGCTCACTGGCTGAGCACGGTGCGGATGCAACACCGAGGGTTGCGATCCCGTTGCCAGTCCCCGGTACGGGCGCGGCACCGAGGGTTGCGATCCCGTTACCGGTCAGTAAAAAAGACAAAAAGAAAAAAAAAATGTTAAGGATCTCACATGCTGATGGAGAAGCTGAGGCTTATAGAGACAGTAAGTGCTGGGAATGGTACCCAGAGTGCTTACCTCCAGGCCCCCCTAATACCTAGCAACACATACAGGTGTTAAGCCATCTGGTGGTGGCAGAGGGTCCCCTTAGAGAGCCCTTTCTCTGTATAAAGGGGCTAAGGTTCTGGAGTCAGACCACTTCTGAGAGGCCTCAGACAAGTACTTGAGCTTTGTAAAGCTTAAGTGGGGAGAGTAATACCTACCTCCTAGGGCTGTACCTGGCACAGGTGAGCTCTCACCAAGTGGTAGCTATTATTGGTCCACCCCTCTGCTTAAATATTTTCAGCCACATGGCAGGATGGGTGAGGAAGAGGTAGTGGTGTGTCCTACTGGCCACACTGCTCTTGGACACTTTCTCAGTCTCCTCCAGGAGCCTCAGGTCTCATGGGAGAACATGAGGCAATGTGAACCCTCCCGTTTGTGCACACACGAGCAGGAAACCCCGCGCATGGGCAGGGCAGGAAAGCAATCCCACCCAGTCACCGTGCCCCAGGAGGTCCAAGCTCACTGGGTTCAGATTTTCCTCTCTGGCTGTTCCCTCAGACCCACAGCTGCTGGACACCAGCCACAGGGCCTGTGCTGCCCAAGCCAACACAACAGCACAGCCTTGGTGGACAGAGGAAGCTGAGGGAACCGTCCTGGACTCAGAGTTAAGAAGACCCTGCCCCTGGGGACAAACTATCTGAAGTATAGGGGTGAGGTGGTCCCTAGCCCTCAGGGGCCTGGAAATCAGCTCCAGAGCCAGATACATTACAAGTATTTATTGTTTTCCCCACCCATTTCCTCGCATATTTCAGCTGTTTCGAGAAAACAACTCGTTTCCCCTGCCCCGCCCCTGTTCTTTCTCTTTGGGCAGCAGCCCAGAGCCCAGAGCCCAGAGCCAGGGAGGCCTGGGGACCGGCAGCGGGAGGGGGAGGGGCACCCTGCTTAACCCCCCACCTTCTGTCCACCCTCTTCACTGTGCTCAACATCTAGGCATATAGTAAAGGAGACACTGCCATCCTGAACCAGTGTGTTATTAACCTCTTCTGACTCAACTTCCCTTCCCAGGCAATGGAGAGCGTCCCCTCTGGGCCCCCAGCCAGCCCCCTACAGGACTCAGAGGGCACTGCAGCTCTGAGACCGGAGCCCTCAAAGGCCAAAGGGAGGCGCAGAAAAGGAGGCTGGGGTAAGAGCAACTGAGCGTGGGCAGGGGCGGAGGGGCTTGCCAGAGCCATAGCTAGAGCCGGGCCCCCTCTGGCCAGTGCTCGTTCCTGCAGGATCCTGGAGGAGCAGGCCCAGGCCCGTGGCTCTGCCCTTCCTCCTGCCATGAAGGGTCATGATGCTCTTGGCTGTCAGGAAGAAATACCTACATCGCTGGCACCTCAGGGCACTGCTTCACAGGCTCCAGAGTTCCCAGCAGGCCAGACGCCTGGCAGCAACATGGCAGCGCTGGGTAGATGCTCAAGGGGTGCAGCAGCTGGCGTGGACTCTGGTGAGTGTATGGCCCCACCCCACCCCGAGGAGGCCCCAGAGGCCCTGGGGCACAGCCCCCACTGCACCCATCCTCAACCCTAACCCCTAGAAACAATGTCTCTCAGAGTATGGTCTTTGGACACGCCGAGTCTGAAACCTTAGGGTTTCAGATGGGCCCCAGAATCTGCATTGTTTATAAGCTCCTCATATGACGCCCCCCTTTTCACAGCCCTTTCACCCTGGTGCCACAGAGTTGGGGGTGCAGAGGCCACAGAAAGGCCCGGGGCTGCCGGGGCACGGGGGTGCAGGGGGGTGCCTCTGCTAACTTCCCCACAGCTTAGGCAGTGGCACCTGAGATGGGCCTGGCAGACGTGGCGGCGGCGGGTCCTGCAGCTGTGGGTTGCTCAGCGGTTCCAGCAGCAAGAAGACAGCTGGGTCCTTATCCAGGTACTGGCAGGACGGCATCCCCCTCGCTTCACCCAGCTGGCCCTTCCAAAACCAGCGCCATGTCTGGACATGGCTGAGCTGAGGTCTTCTCTGCTCGCCATCCGCAGGGCCCCTTCGTTTTCAGGGAGGGGGCCAGTCTGGTTACAGGACACACAACCAAGTTGTCGGAGCCCAGCCCAATCCCACCCTGTCACTCAGTGTGAGAACAAGGCTTGGCCTGTGGCACACCTGCTGCTGTCACTAGCCCATGCAGGGTCTGGGTCCCCAAGCGCCCCTCCCTTATTTGCTCTGCTCTGAGCACAGCTTCCTAAATCACAAGTCAGATCTATCCTGAGCCTATGCATTTGGCCTGGGCAGGGCTGGCTGGCTGCCTGGGGCAGAGGGATGGGCCTCTGACCCCACACGCCCCAGGGACAGAAAGAGCTGGGTGCAGGTGTTTTTCTAGTAGGCACAGCAGACCCTGGAGGAGTGTGAGACAACCTTTCCTCCCCCTCCCTGATTCTAGGCCTTTGAGAAGTGGTACCAGCGCCTGGCAGCCAAGGGCCCAAGGACAGGAACCACCAGTAGCCCGAGACCCCTGAGAATGCCAGGCACCAGGGGCCCTGGGAGCAGGCTGGAGCAGGCCCGGGTGTGGTGGACTTGGGGCAGAGCAGGGGCTCAACTGCAGCTGTGACTCGTTCCCATAGAACGAAAAACAGAACTGAGCCCAGCCTTTCCAGGGAAGGAACCATGCCCCATGTATACGGGAGTGTGGTGACGAGGGGACAGCTCTGGGAGCTCTAAAAGATAATAAATGCCCTTCTTAAGGTTGCTCAGTCTCTTGCTCAGTCTCTCCTAAACGCTGCCCCCGCCACCCCCTGGCCCTGGCCAGTGGGGCCTGGGAAGGGATTGAAGAGGAAGCCCCACAACTGAGCCCCTTCCTCTGCCATCAGGCTGTTCCTGAACGCCCCACCCCCACTGTGGTGCAGTCCTTTTCTGCTGAGCCGGCAAAGACCAGCAGGCCCCTTCCTCTGCCATCAGGCTGTTCCTGAACGCCCCACCCCCACTGTGGTGCAGTCCTTTTCTGCTGAGCCGGCAAAGACCAGCAGGCCCCTTCCTCTGCCATCAGGCTGTTCCTGAACGCCCCACCCCCACTGTGGTGCAGTCCTTTTCTGCTGAGCCGGCAAAGACCAGCAGGCCCCTTCCTCTGCCATCAGGCTGTTCCTGAACGCCCCACCCCCACTGTGGTGCAGTCCTTTTCTGCTGAGCCGGCAAAGACCAGCAGGCCGGGATCCAGGACAGGAAACAGCGTATTTGCACCTGTAGTCACTGCCCCTGGAGAGCGGTGCCAGGCAGACAGCTTCTGGGACAGCATCAGCTGAGGGAACAGCAGCTGGCAGGAGGGCCCACCTAAAAACTAAGCCAGGAAGTGTGGCTGCCGCACAGCCCCAGGCGGAGCTGGAGCCACTGCCTAGGCAAACCTCACCTTTGCCTTTGACAGTTGACAGACATGGATTCCTCAGCGGCCGGGGTGGGGGGAAAAGGGAAAGCAAAGGGCTCCACCAAGCACAAGGGTTCAGACTGCCTTTAACCCTCAAGGGACACTTTTCCTCTCAAGCCATCAGAATCTTGAAACAACTGTTTCAAAAAGCAGCATTGCAGAAAGGTGAAAAGCCCAGGTGAACTCTCAGGTAGAATGTGACAAGAAATCCCTGCCCCATCCAGGGGCCTGGGGCCTGGTGCTGTGGCCAGCCAAGTAGGTAGGCAGGACAGTGGTTTGCCCCTTCAATCACAAGTAGGTAGGGTCCAGCTGCCAACGTCTAGGAGGTGGAAGGGTGCAAAAAAGAAAAAAATCTTGCCATGTCTCTTCTATAATGCCACAAGTACCCATTACCTGTGTTTGCTTTGCCCGTCCTATGTAGGTCCCAAGTATGTGTTCACTGGGAGTCTCTGACTGTCTCCTAGAGGCTGCCCTGATGTGAGGGCTCAAGTGGCAACAACTAGTCTCCTCCCCTTCGCAGGGAGGGTGGTGTGCCACCCCCACCCCCTGTGGTCATCTGCAGGATGGAGGTGCTCCCACCAGAACAGCACAAATTCCTGGCCAGAGTGGGCAGCACTAGGCTCCCGTGTGGGGTGACTCAGGTCCAGCCGGAGCCTGGAAGCCTCACCCACCGGCATGCCAGGGAGTGGGACCAGGGCTTGGAGGGAAACGAAGGAGAGTAGGGCTCCTGGGAGAACCAGGACTGGGGAGGAGGAAGGCAGGACAGGAGTGGCCCCAGCTGAGGACGTCAGGACGCAGGTCGTGGAGCCTCCATCTCCTCCTCATTCTGGGTGGGCTTGTTAAGAAGCTCGAATGTGTCTTCTACCACCTGCCACAAGCAGTTGTCCAGTGGGAAGTCATTGTCCACCAGGTTGACCAAGAAGTAGTTGTCGTGGATGTACTGAATGATCGTGCGAGACGGGGACTCCTCCTCGTACAGCTTGCCCCACTGCTCAATCCACAGGGCGAAGGCCTCGTCCTACACGCACACGTGCGCACAGACACACACACCCACGCACACAGGCCAGGTTAGCAGGGCTGCCCACAGGTCAGGGCTCCGTGCTCAGCACTCCAAGGGCTGCTGCCTCTGCCCAACAGGACATTTCCAGGAATAGAACAGGGCCTGCTGCCAGTGCTGCTTCCCGCCCGCTGCCCAGAAACAAACACCACGTGTCAACACCACACTGGCGGGTGAATCAGTGGGGAGGATGGCCTCAAAGGCTGGGTTCGAGGGCCCTGGGGGTGTAACCTTCAGCCGGCAGTACTGCCTGCCCGAGGTTTTCAAGGTGGCCAGGGCAGTCTCGCTCCTGGCTCCTTTACCTTCCAGAACATGAAGCTGACAGGATCCACCACTGTTGGCTGGATGATCTCTCGCCCGGGGAAGATGCCCCACGTCACGGCGTTGGGCTGCAGCTCAGGGGCATTGGTGATGTTTTCACCCTGGGGGTGGGGGGTGGGGTAAGAGCAGACCTGGGGCAGAGACAACCACAGTCCTCTTACTGCCTGGACAACCTCAACTCACTGGGACCGCTTCTGGGCTCAGCTCTCTGCCTGCACCTCCAACTGTCCCTCATCCTAGGCTCTCATTTTTGCAAACGGTGTCACTCTTCACATAAGCCTGAAACCTAGAGGTCATTTTGAGTGTTTCCTCTCTCCTCACCGTGCCAGTCAGCCTCCACGTCCACGTGCTTCCTCTCTAATCTCGTGCCTGGCCCGCTGCTGGGCCTGTGTCCCACATGGTTTCCCATAGGGCCCCTTCCCTGGCCTCCTAGGTCTAGTCCTCCCCACACCCAGGTTACCCATATGGTTGCCACTGTGATCAGCCTACAACAAAAACAGGGAGCTGAGCCAGTCCACTGCTGGGGAAAGGCTCCCCTTGCCTTTAGGGAAGACCCAGGCTCCAGGCAGGACAACTGAGAGCCCTGTGGACCTGGCCCCCGCTTAGCACTGCACCGCCTCTTCCCCCCATCCTGTTTCCACACAGACAGTGCAGCTCAATGCCTTTGCACCTGCTCTGCCCTTCCTCTGGAATGCCTCCTCTCCTGTTGGCCAACTCCTCTTTGTCCTTAAGGATTCGGGCCACACATGACCCCCCTAAGAAGCTTTCCCTCACCTCGCAGGTTAGATATCCTTCTTCTGGATCCTAGAGAACCTATAGTGAACTTGATTTTCCTACTTACACTGACCTGTCAGTAGCCATTTATTTGTCACCCCCACTGGGCTGCCGGCTCTTTGAGAGCAGGACCTGGCCTGTCTTGCACAGTATGCCCAGCCTGGGCTAGGAGGCAGGTGATGGTGAAGGAAGGAGTGACCGTGGGGCGCTCAGACCCTGGACCTGGCCTACCTTCACATCGACGATGTGGTAATTGACCCGCGGCTCATACTTCTGCAGCACCTGCAGCAGCGCTTCCACCGTCTCTCGGGAAGTGAAGAACTCCAGGTAGGCCTGTGGGAGGCAGGTGCCCGTCCCTCAACCTCAGCTCCTTGCCAGATACCCTTTCTATGTGCTGCCATGTGTTCCGTGCACTCCATGGCACCATCCAGGCACCTGCCCTCCTGACCATCCCCGAGAGGGACCCTGCAGTCAGGCGTGGCAGCACACTTAAGGCCTGGGGTCTAATGCTGACCACATGAATCGAATCGTGAGCAAAGTGTGAGGGGAGTAGATACGTGAGATTTCTGTCTGGAAGGGTCTGAGGGACATCTGTCACTGCTGGCCCAGTCAGTCAAGGAAGGCTCCATGGAGAAGCCATTTCAGGAGCTGCACAGAGGTAACCAGTTTGACAAGCTAAGGAAGGCCTGAAATATTCCATCCTCCCCAGTCACTGGATGATGACGATAGCATTGACGTCTTCTCTAGCACCGTGTCTATTAGGGATTAAGGTAAGTTTACTTAAATTCATTTGCTAGATGCTCATAATCCTGCAGCATGGGCCTTATTATCCCCAGATGAGGAAACTAGGTTCAAGGAAGTTGAGACAGTTGCCTACACTGACAGTCAACAGCAGAGCTGGTACTTAAACCCAGGTCTTCCTGATTCCAGAGCCCACAGGCTGTGGTTCAGAATGTGATTTTTATTTATTTATTTATTCTTTCCTTTTTGTCTTTTGTCGTGACCGGTAATGGGATCGCAACCCTCAGTGTCGCGCCCATATCGCGACCGGCAACGGAATCGCAACCCTCGGTGTCGCGCCCGCACCGCACTCAACCAGTGATCGGACCGGTCTCTATATGGGATCCAAACTCTTGGCGGGAACGCTGCCGCACTCCCAAGCACCGAACTCTACCGAGTGCGCCACCGGGCCGGCCCCAGAATGTGATTTTAACTCCGGCAGCCCTAGGAGCTGGTGCCGACTCAGAACAGTCCTAAGAGCTGCCATTTAGTGAATGCTTCCTGTGTCCTTCCGCGTGCTCAGCACTTCACACGTTTTGTCATGTTTCATCCCCAGAACACAAGAGCCATCCCATTTTACAGAAGAAAAAACTGAGGCTCAGAGAGGTCAAGTGACCTGCTGTCTACCCAGGTTTGTCTGATTGAAAATGTGAGCTCCTATCTGATCCACTGTAACTTAAAGAGCCCAGGTGAGAAAGGCTGCTCTGTCCCAATCTCTGGGGACCCCCTGGGTGCCAGTCAAGGTGTGGTAGCCCATGCATTCCTAGCATACCTTCTGGAAGACATAGCCCCCGCTGGGGCCCCAGCCCACGATGGGGTCGGAGGACGGCTTCCCATTGATGCTGGGCTGGGAGTTGATGGTGAGGATGCCCTGCCGGTTCACACGCAGCAGCTCCTCCTTCATCAGGCTGGTCTCAGCCGCCAAGGGCTCGTCGTTCCAGGGCAGGCAGGTCACCTGGGAGGGATGGGGAGCTGGGCTGGGGCATCGACCAGGACTGGCACTCTCCTTCTCACAGTCCCCACGAGAGGACTGGCTGTCGTTGTCTCTGCAGGCCCCATCCAGGTGAGGATTTGCCAACTCACCCTCCTCCCTTTGCTGAGATGCCACATTCACAACACGGAGAGATGGCGGCTCAGGGTGGGGAAGTCATAGCCCCGCAGTCTGGCCCACAGCTGGAGATACGGCAGGGGACAGAACCAGGGGCCCCACCCTAGCATCACTCACTTTGTAGCCGTTCTGGTTTGGCTCTCCTGAGAGGTAGTGGGCAAAAACTTCAAAGACACTTTCTTCACTGGTGAGCGCCTCCCCCCACATCTTCAGCAACTCCTCCTTGGAGGACTTGCTTTTCAGGTAGAAGAGGTAGTAGTTCTTTAGCTCCCCAAAGGCTGGAGAGGCGGAATTGCCCCTGGGACAGGAGGTGCCCAGAGGTCAGGGCACACTCCTGACAGAAGGGCAGTTGCCATCACATGCCCAGGAAGCCATTCATGCAAATCTTGCCCCTGATTCCTCCCAGGGCTCAACCAGGAGCATGCAAGCTCCTTCTGCCCCCTCCTCCCAAGCCTTAGGATTTATTTGCAAGGAATGTCCATAGGCCCTAACCAGCGGCCATTGGGGAACTCATCCCATTCCTGGGTGCGGTAGATGTAACTCTTTGGTCTGGATGCCCAGAAGATGGGACGTACATCTTCTTCCCGGCGCTTGGGGTGGGCACTGACAGCCCAGGGCAGGGGACGCCTGGGTGAGAATGGAGATAGAAGGGACAAGGGGTTGGCTAGGAGCTGGAAGGAGGGGAGCACCACTGAGCCTGCTTTTGCAGCTGCATGTGCTCAGTATGCCTCAGTATGCCCAGCTAGCCACAGCATAGACATCCCTCTGTACCACCGCAGGGGTCTAGCACTGCGTCTGTGACTGCTGACTTTCCTCTAGGGCTCCCTGGGCCCCTGCCCTCACCTGGGGTCCTCGGTCCACATGCCCAGGCGCTTCAGCACCTCTGTGGTGGCCATCTCGCGGTTAAGGGTGTAGAAATGCAGGCCTGGCACCAAGCCACTGGCCAGAAGCTCCTGGCACAGGCTCACGGCCAGCTCGATGCCATAGTTGCGGATGGCAGCATCATTGTCTTTGATTGGCTCAATTACATCCTTGATCTCCTGCGGCACCTCCAACTTGGACAGCTTCACAAGCTGCCGAAGGGAGTGGAAGCCCTGCCCAAGACACCAGGGGGCTATGGGAGCCATCTTCCAGCCCGTCTTCCATCTTAAGTACTTAACCCCCATCCCATCCCCCACCAGGTGTCCTGGCCAACTGCAGGTTCATGCAGGGTGGCCCGGGAAAGTCAGATCATATTGTAGTGGTGCGCTTGGGCTTATCCTGCTTTTTCCAGTCTTTGCAGAGTCTAGCAGCTGCCCACAACATTCCTGCCGTCAGGCCTTTAGCTCTTAACTGTATCTATTGATAACATAGTGTCATCTAACCCAGTCGTTCCCAAGACTCACTGATCACCAGAATCACCTGCCAAACTTAGGAAATAAAACTAAAATTCCCAGGACCCACCTCAGATTTGCTAAATCAGAACTTTCTAGGGGTGGAACTTGGAAATCCATCTTTTGAAAAAGCTTATCAAATGTTTCTAATGACACCCAAGTTTGAGAAAAGCTGCTTTAACCACAATTTATAACAAGAGTTAAAATCCCTTTTAGAGATACGTATCAGTAGGCCAAAGTACAATAAGCCCCTCAACAGACATTGTTGCTGCTTTGGGGGAGAACTAGAGGTAACCAAAATGGTGTGGCAAGACAACGATGCATACAGACTGGAGCACCTGTCTGACAGGAAATCTAATAAGCAAAGAACTTGAGCATGAACTCAGCACCTCACTCCAGCATCCTGGCCTGTGCTAGTGGGGGCGGGAGGTGGAGGGTTTCTATGAGCCCTGCCGGGACCCTCACCTGAATAGGAAAGATCCCGGGGAGGATGGGGCAGGTGATGCCTATCTCGGTGCAAGCCTTAACAAAGCGGAAGAAGGTGTCAGCCTGAAAGAAAAGCTGGGTGATGATAAAGTCGGCTCCTGCAGACACCTTCTCCTTCAAGTGCTTCAGGTCGGCCTCAAGGCTCCCTGCATCGGGGTGGCCTTCGGGATAACCTGCCAATAGGGATGACAGTACGGAGAGGCTGAACTCCACCTGCTCAAGGTGAGTGATGAAGAAACCAGAGAGCCTGGGAACAGAAAGTCCTCTGCCTGAGGGTTCAGGACTCATACCTGCCAACTACACAGCATGGACAGGGCAGAAACGGTAGGTGACCAGGCTCATAACTGATGTGCCCCCTGACCCTGAAGATGATCCTCGTGGGAGGTGGCATGAGGCCACCTCCCAGGAGTGGGAACAGATTACTCCAAACTCGCCACACTGTCCTGCTTCAACCAGCCAAGCAAATCAGGCCTGCACTTTGTGGCCATAGAAAAGAGAAAATGCTACATTCAGCACGGGTCAGGCAACATTTTGGGTACTGGGCTTGACTCTAGGCACCGGATTAAAACATTGTTTTTAACGTAACATTAAAATTACTCAGCGGTCCAGGATAGTGAAAAGTTAGGAACCATGTTCCACGAAGAAGACTGAAGAAAGTGGAGATTGCTTTACTCGAAGAAAAGGATGGAGAGAATACTGCTTCCAAGTGTCTAAAGGTCTGCCATGGGGGGAAAAGGATTCGCCCTAGTAGAGTTCCTTATTAGTCCTATTTTGTGTTGGTTTTGATGGCAGAACCAGCATCAGTTTCAGAGAGCAGTCTAACAATGGAACGAGCAGCCTCACAAAATAACTCCAGTCCTGGAGTCTGAAAACACTGGGGCAAAGGGATGACCATGTGCTGGGAATGCCCAAGACGGGATTCTGGAATTGCCTGAGAAGTGGGACCAGGTGTCCTCTAGGCTCCTCATGAGCACTATGAATTCTATGACCCCTTCCCTAAGGGACAGAACTTACTAGCAGCCTCACTTGGCTAGGAAGGCAGGAGGACCATAGGCCTTAATGAGACTGCAGGAAGAGTGCTGTCTTCCTCAGTCTAAGTCCAGGGCAGGACCCTGAGCCAGGCAGGGAGCAGACCTGAGACCTGGGCTACTGAAAAGCCAAGCTGCTTTGCTGTAGTAAGGCAGTACCGTTCTCAAGAAACCTGGAGTCATGAAAACTGGATATAAAAACTATTGTTTCCAGGGGTCAGGGGATGAGGGGATTAAGTACCAAAATTTTATACTCTCAATAGCAAAGCTATTTTTCCCAAGGAATTTCAGAAACAAAGAGTCTTTTTAATAGCTGAAACTGTATAGCTATAAAACCTAAATTTCACCAAACATCTAGCATTTGAATACTTTTGGATTTTGCTTGGTTTACTATAATCTTTTTCTATCACCACCAGCTAGGTGCTATCTAATCCAGTGATCTTTATCACATACTTTATGATAAGCAAAGCACAAAACCATCCAGCAACTCTAAGCTCGTAACATTGCTAGTTTCTAGTCACGATCACCTAGTACTCATGACTGGTGCACCTGAGCACGAGCGACAGCCCCTTGGACAGGTGGAAATGCCTGTTCTGTTCCTTACTCCTCATCACTGCTTCCCAGACTTAGCTTTCTAACTTCCTCTGTTGACAAAAGAGGGGACGTGTCCCCAGGGAATGAGAAAAGCCCAAAGTCACCCACAACAAGGAATTTTCTTGAAGCCACATGGTTTATTTATTTTTAACTCGGATCACTTGAGATGCTACCCCATAATGTAGCCATGTTTGTTTTAATACACAAGTGATAGGATTTCCCCCAAAATATTTGAGAAAAATTGTCACACCAAGATATGTGTATATGTGTGTATAATCAACCTAGGGACTTCTGTGTCCCTGGCACACACTGCCTCCATACCTGAGCCCTATGTGAGCAGCTGGAGGCCCAGACCCAGTAAGTGGGGGCAGGAGGGAAAGCCACCCAATTGGCTTCTGCCAGGTACCCCTGACCTCCTGGCTGTAGCTGATAGAACTAGAGTTAAGCCAACAGAATTCTTTCTCCTGGGAGTTTGGAATTGACACTGAGACCTGTCAGTAAGTCTGGGCTACTGACTGGAACTGACACCACGTATCCTCAGAAGCATGGAGCAGATGTGGCCCCAGACAGAATGTGGGAGGGCCTTGGTTTCTGACTGGCTCCAATGCCAGTGAGGTCTGATGCCGTTTCCTGACCTTGGGTTCTGGGATTCACTGCCTCCTGGAATCCTCTTAATAAATATCTCTCTTTTGTTTTAAAGAAGAAAAACGGGGCTGGGAAGCAGGCTAAGAGCAGAGGAACAAAAACTCAGGGGGTTGTGGCACGCCTGGGAGGGTGGGGGTGGTGGAAAGAGAGCAGGGACATCATGTAATCCACGTTTGCACATCTGTCATCCAGCGTGGGCGCAGGCCCACAGAGACACCTGATCACCGTGTCCTGAGCTGAATACTGGCAGGCTCATGGGCGGCTCATCCCTTCCCCTCTCCATCCCCAGCCACCACTCCATCCAGCCACTCACCTGCCACACAGATGTCAAAGTAGTCACCAAACTCACTTCGGATGTGCTTCACCAAGTCCACCGCATAACTGAAGCCTCCTTCCTCCTCTTCCCACAGGTCACCTATGGGGTCTGCAGGTTCGGTGGAGGTCACGGTCACTGGGTCTCACCCAACCTTTAGAGAGCCTTTTTATTCCCTCTGCCTACCCCTACATGCAGGACTGCGAGATCCTGGAAGGCACAGACTTCATGTTAAGTTTGGATCTCTTCTTTCTAGCATAACACTTGGTACACAGCAGGAGGGAAGAAAACAGCGAACCTGTCAAATACTAAGAGCCAACTCCGAGCGGCAACATGCCAGCAGAGGAAAAGCAGACGCTGCTGCCATTCACTGGGCCGGGAGGATCTGAGTGCCCTCCCTACTTGCATCTGGAGGTGCTCAGGGACCCTGTCCACAGCCCTACTGCTTGCTCTCTCAGATCTCCTGCTGGGAGAACTTGCTACTCACCTCAAGTGAGAAGTGGTCTTGTGGTGGGGGGAGCACAAAGCCACAGATCCCACCCATCAGCCTTCTTATTCCCACACCGGGGTGGCCTGATGGCAGCAGGCACCAGGGGCATAACCAGCTATTCTCACTGCTGGACAGATGCCAGACTGCACTCTGTGACTGGGCCAGGCTCTGGATGCAGCCAGTGATCAATGGAGTTGTGTAGCCAGGGCAGAGGGTTATCAGGCACTGACTGCATTCCTGACTGAACACCTATGTCGAGGTCGAGAAGTAGAAGAGCTGGCTCCATCTGTGTGGTGCCCACGGTAGACTCACGACCCACAATGCCTACTGATGCAGCTGGGAGGGATGGGACCCTGAGTGTGCTCAGGGTGGGACCCAGGGGAGAGTAAAGGGCCGCTCAGGGGACAGGAGGGGCCTTTGGGAAAGCAAGAACCCAGACAGTAGGGCAGTGCTGGCTCACACCTCCCCTCAGCGCCAAGATATTTTTCAGGCCCAGCTGCTTGGCTTTTTGCAGGTGGCCCGTGATCTCTTCCCGGCGCTGGCGGCAGCAAGTCATGTGCAGGATGGTTTCGAGGCCACAGTAGTTCACAGCGGTGCTGGCGATCATCATGGAAGAGGTTTCCTTGTCTGAGCCAGGGTCCCCTGCTGGGTGCCAGGTTACATCTATGAAGAGGGGGCCACCTGCTGCCATCCGGTCAAACCTGTAGGGAATTTCTTTCTGAAGAGGGGCTCCTGGGGGATCACCACCTTCCCACCCTCCCATGGGGCCTGGCAGTGACAGAAGCATAACATGCAAGTTGGAGTCAGATCAATCTGCATTCATATCCTGGTTTTGCTACTTATTACCTATGTGATCTTGGGTAAATTAGCCTCAGTTTCCTCATTTATTAAATGTTGCAGGTAACAGCACCTACTTCATAATGACATTAGATTATTATGATAGATGGCTTTACAGCACTTAGAACAATGCCTGGTGTACAAGCAGTGAATACTCAATAAACAAGAGGCGCCATTATTACAATGACTATTATTGTAGAGATAACATATAATGACAATGCCACCATTTTGTGTGACAGCAGCACTTCAGACCTTTCAAAGCGCTTGCATCTTAACTCACTTATCTCGGGTGAGTTAAGATGCGTCAGTGGTCGAGAGTTAGGGGAATCCTCAGAGTGACAAGCAGAGCCTCATTCTAGGAACAGGCAGAGAGGGTCAGCAGCCCAAGTTTCTTTCATGCTGCAGCCCTAGCCCGAGTGCAGCAGACAACAGTCCTGCAGACTCAGGCCATGTGCCCAAACGAGACTCAAAAGCCTGGGCATGCACAGCACTTGTATTACAAGCGATGACAGTGTATTTAAACATCCTTGTGCCTTTAAACTTCAGAACCTTGGGAGCAACACAAAAGAAGTGCAAACGGTAAAGGCAGAAATTTTAAAAAGGAGCTGCAATTCATGAAGTGCTGGCTAATGCAATTCTGCTGGCGTTTCCAGATCTCAAGAGGCATAATCCAAATTCCTAACTTACTGAAAACATTCTCTAAATTGCTGCTTTGTGAATTCCTAAACCGGACTCATGATCCAGCCCCAAGTTCCACTAAAAAGTACAGTTTTTGAGAATCAACATTTTTAACCCATTGCAGACTGTGTCTAAAAATACCCCACGCTACAGAGGGACTTCTACATACAATTGAGAAGTTGCGGATCAAATGACCTAGCCTGCCTTGGCTCTTTTCCGCCCCCTCTGGCTGCCTTTTTCTGCCGGGTTAGAGTGCAGCCCTGCGGCCTGCTGGCAGTTCTCTCCCCCTTTGCGCCCCCCACTCCCACCCCAGCTCACATCAATATACCTTGAGATAAGATTGACAGCTCCCTCAGCAGTTCGAGGAGGGAAGAATTCCAGAGAGAACCACTTGTCACCAGATTCCATCCTCCGCCTTATCTTGTCCCGGAGCTTCTCGTGCCGCTCGGGGTCCAGGCCCGGTGTGGAACATCTCGAACTATTTTTGGAGCCCTCACTGCCACTGCTGCTGTCCTCCGAGCAGGGGTTGAGGCCACCACTCCCTCTGGCCTCGTTCAGCATGGCCGGGTTCCTGCTGCACGGGGTGGGGCAGGGGGCACCAGAGGGCAGGCAGCCAAGCGTCAGGCACATTCAGGAACCTGAGTGGCAGGAAAGACACTGCCACGCAGGGAGAAGGCCAGTAAGGGTAAGGCCGACACTGTCCCCACCCAGTGGCCCCATGCTCCACAGCTACAGCTACCTCACTCAAGCTTTGCCCTCTGCTGCTGCCTGGCTCCTTGCATGACAGCCCCCACCTGGCACTGGAACATGCTCCTGCGGCCCATGGATCCTTGATGACAGCTACCTGGTGGAGGGTGGCACAGAGAACCCCACGCTGCCAGCCTCTGAGGCCATCATCCCTAGGGAGGAGCAGCAGTGCCCAGCTGGGAGAACCCTGGCTTTTCGCTGGTCCATCTTGTCAGCTTAGACCCAGAGTGAGTGGGGAGGGAACAGAGGAAAACTTCCCCAGTGGGTGTGCACAACTGGGCGGAGCTATGACAAAGGGAGAGCCTTGAGCCAGAGCCCGGGGGCACAAGGGGGTGGGGGCAAGGCTTCCAGGAGAGAGGGCGGAAGGAAGGAGGAGGATTCGGGGGCCGGAGACTGCAGGGGCTGGTGGAAACGAAGCCAACAGACGTTCAGGGTCACCAGCTCACTCTCCAAAGAAGATACAGCTCGCTCTGGCTGGCCCTGCCTGGAACATCTCCTGTTACTTGTAATAGCTTGTGTGCAGGATGGAAGGAGTGAGGGCTTGACTATGCAGCCAGATTTCTTCTGAGTTCATGCTACTTCAAAAAGACGGTGTCGTGGGTTAGAACTTGACACTGGCTGTGTTCCAAAAGGAGCCAGACTCCAGAAAGGGCATGAATTTATGTCCAACTCGGGACAAAAGTTGTCCCATCTGTGCCTGCTGTGCAGGCTGCTGTCCTTACACAGATTACTGAAGTCAGTTAAAGTAATCACAGTGACTGCAGAGCCACCCCATGTGAAGCTCTGACCAGGGCAACTGCAGGCAGGCCATACGCACAGTGCCATGTGGCAGTTTAGTGGGGAAAATAAGACAAATACTTAAAAACAAAACAAATACTACTTTTGCACAGCAACAGGCAAACACACAGTAGTGAAAATCGGTATGTGGTGACATGGGGTAACAGAGAGGAACGACCATGTCAGGTTCATTCCTTTTGGGGAATGCCCACTGCTAAGCCAGTGTACTTAACCACGTTGGGTCCTAGACTCTTGAGAATCTGATGAAGTCCACTGCTCTTCTCTACTGAAACACAGGCAAGTGCACAGAATATGCACGGGTGCATCCAAAGTCAAGAAGCTGATTCCAGACTAAGAACCCTTGTGTCAATGCTTTCTCCCCCTTAGGGATGCCCATTTTGATCCTGACCTAAAACTCCAGGTTCTCAGTGGGGATGGCAGGGGGAGGGGGGCAATGAGAAAGGGGGTAATGGCAAGAGCAGCCAGCTGGCCTTTCTCCTGCGTTCAAGGGAATGCCGCATTAACAGCCTGCTGGAACAAAGCCTAGAGAAGGGGTGGAGACTGAACCACCTGCAAACTATCTGCTCTTTAAAGACTTAATTGCATGCGTAGTGTGTGCCAGGCACGTGCCATATTATTATGACTTCTCTCAACCAACACCCACAATTTTTCCGTTTTAAACTGGGCTCCCATAACACCCTGGATTGTAATTGTGGGTTAACAGGTTTGCGTCCCCTCTCTTCTCCAAGTTCTCTGAGACAAGGACCTGGTATCCTGCCTATGGTGTCCCCAGTGCCTGGCACAGGGTAATAACAGCCAACATTCACTGAGGGGCCGGGGTCACTCCATTCTCAAAATAATACTCTGCTATTTACTGAGCACTTACTTAGACTGTGCCAAGCTCTGGGACACTGAGCCCACCACTCCCAGAAAGGTCCAGTGGACACTGGTGTGCAGCAGGAAGAAGTGGGCGCCAGGGACAGCAGTGCCAGTGAAATCGAGCCCCCACAGGGATTTCTCTTAAGAGTTTTCTCTTTCCTCCCCATGCCCGTTTAAATAGCTTCTGTATGCTTACCGGTTATGAATAAGAGCTGAGTGTCCCTCCTGTTCTCCTGCTTTCCTAATCAACCTTCTTGAACAAAGGCATTCCAAAGAAGGGCCAACATGATTATTAAGCTCTACCCTTGCTGAGAAGACCGTGTTAGACATGCACGTTAGCCAAGAGTCTGAGTCAGGTACTTTAAAGTTCCAGTGATGCTCGGCTTAGGTCATTGTTTTTGAGGGACTTGAGGCTCACCAGACCACAGACCACAGACCCCATGTATTCGGGGAACCCTGTTCATCACCGAATCCTGACCTCTGACTCAAGCTACGTGCAAACCCCGCGATCCCCCCCTTCACTAGCTCCCTGCACGTACCTGCATTCTTTTTTTTCCATTTAAAAACCCTAAACTTGAGTCAAGCGGGGAGTCGGGCTGACATCCCTACGCTGTTCACCCGTCCTCCCGGCCGTAAGTAAAATCCTTCTTCTCGGCACTATTGTTTGTCTGTCACTGGCTCTCGGCCCGACAAGCAGCCGAACTCAATCAGCCCTTTCGGCCTCGGTGACACCACGGCCCACCGCTCTTCTCCAGGCGCTCGCCGGGGAGGCAGGTTTACAAGGCTGGAGCTGGAAGCCGCCTCTGCGCCCGGGTGGCCGCGAATCGACTCACCGAGTCACGGACGGGGACTGGGGCGTCCCTCCGTCCAGGCAGAGGACAGACAGCGAGTCTTCGCCTGAGGGGTGGCGGGGGTGGGGGGTGGCAGCCACCGCGAGGAGCGCGCGGAGGGGGCGGGCCGGCCTCCCGCGCTGCCCGCCCACAAGCGAGTCCCCGCCCACGGTGGGCGTTCTCCGGAGCCGAGGTCTCCCTCCTGCGCGATCCCGGGCCTCGTCGTCACTCACCCTCCTGTCCCGGTGACTCAGAACGCTCGCCCGCGCGCCCGCCGCAGCCCTGTGGCCGCTGCAGGAGCGCGCGCGGAGGGGGCGGGGCGAAGGTGTCAGGTTGCTGAGGGAGGCGGGACCAAGGCGGAAAGCTTCCGGGCGGGCAACCGGAGGCTCCGCCTCCAACATGGCCGCGCCCACAGCTCTCATTGGACGCCGTTCCTTTACTGTCATGTGACGCGAGCCCTCGCCCCACCCGTCCACAGCCACTCCCTGTCTCCGTCCCCAAACTCGAGAGGCCCACGTGACCCTCCCGGGGCCAGTCACGTGAGGCTCGGATCCTGGGTGGGAGGGGGTTGGCAGAGGGGTCCGGAGTGGCAGCAGAGGAGGAAGATGGCGGGGTGCAGGGAGTCCCTGTGCTGCTGCTGCAGGTGCTGCTGCTGCTGCTGCTGCGGGGAGCGTGAGACCCGCACCCCCGAGGAGCTGGTAAGGAGGGGGCGGGGCTGGGGAGGGGGCGGTTGCTGAGGGACAGTGAGAGGCGTTGCCGGGGGTGGGGCCGGGCCGAACTGGGCCCGCAGGTGGCAGTCGGAGGGGCCTAGGGACTGCGGCCCGGGCTCTGGAAGCATCTGCGCAGTTCCGCATGCCCAGGTCTGGGGTCTTTCTCATAACCCCTTCCTGGAATTTTAGGGAGCATCCAGGCCAGCTCCAGTTAATCCCATCCATCTTTTCTTTTATTTTCATCTGAGAAGAGTATTGAATGAAACAAGCGTTTTCAGAATGAGCCCCTTCACAGGACTTTGTGCTTATTATGCACTGGCTTAGTTTCTCCAGCCCTTTCTCACTCTATCCCTCACCCTTTCTGGGTCACTGACAATCCAGCCTCTCCCTGCAAAGCACCCTGGGAAACATGAGTTGTGTCCCCAGAGTTGACAAGGCCCTTATGATTTCAGATTCGTTGTACTGTCAGATGAAACCTGAGTCTCCGCCCCCCACCCCTTAAGCTGGCATTGGACATCTTTGAAGTGTCCTGAAGATGAGAGTGGTTATTTGGGGAATGTATCAATAGAAATGAAGAGCTCAGCTGGATGATTGTAGATCCTTACCCACATGGCCCCCCACTCCAAAAGGTTTTTTTTCTAGATCTTGTTCCCATTTTTTTTTCCAGCTTTTCCACATAATGATTTTATTTTTTGTTCCCATTTGATAATGGCTCCAGATGATTTAGAAGCTAGCAACTGATTTCAGTAAATACTTCTGCCTCCTTCCACTCCTAAAAAGGTCTCCCTTCTGTGGATCTGTTTTTCTAGACCATCCTTGGAGAAACACAGGAGGAGGAGGATGAGATCCTCCCAAGGAAAGATTATGAGGTGAGATTCTTAGATGCTGTCTTGGGTAACTAAAGTAGTGAGTGGCCTGGTCACTTCATACCAAGGATTGTGATTCCAATCAGAGATGCTTTTTGACCTTCTGTGCCAGGGAGTGAGTGGGTAAGAGATAACCTCCTTCTGTGAAAGGGGCTTTTTAACAAGTCATTTTCTCACCTTAAACCCAAAACAAGGTCTGGTGTCTTTGTTTTTATAGATCTGTGGCACCCTAACTTGGATGGAGTATGTATTTGCCATTAAACAGTTTGCTTTTACAACTTGTACAGACGCAGTGTCAAAGCCACTGACAGTGTGTGCTCATAATCTGTTAAAGAGGCCTTGCTTCTTTTCTGAGAGAGCTGAGTTTTCAGATAATTGTTTCATGCCCAAACAGCTTCTCTCTTAAATGTTCCTGGTTATAGTTTCTAGTTTCAAGTATGGCACTTTTAGAGTGTGGATGTTTTTTGTATCACCAACGCTGCCAGGGTGAAACTTAACATGCATGACTTTCTATCATTTAATCAATTCATGGTGACTTTTCTATGACTTTGAAATGACAAAAGCAAGCCATAGCTGTGACAGAGAATTCTTGAACTATTTACAAAAATATGGTAGATAAAAACCTATAACCCCACTCATTAAAAGATGATGATTAACACCTTACTAAATGTCCTTTCACATCCTTTTCGATGTTTTTATACATGCTTTTCTAAGTAACAAAACTGAGATTCTGCTAATGTACTATTTTAACCTGTTTCCCCCCCACCACTTGATAACAATTTACTTTTCTACAATATCTTTTTAAATAGTGGGATAGTATTTTATTGTACCATGATTTAGTTAATTCATCTTTCGGTTCTTCTGACTTTTCTATGCGATGAATTACATAGTGGTAAACATTCATCCTTTCTTGTCCATCTTTAATTGCTTCCTTTCTAAGAAGTGGAATTAATCATGTATATGTTGAATGCCTTTTTTAATGTCATGTAGACTTTAAAAGTCCAATATGCTAGGACAATAACATACACAGACTAATTTTCTTCTCAATATTTCATCTTTTGCTGTAGAATTTAGTGTAAACATTAGGATTTGTAGTGTAGCGTGGATTTTTTTAAAACTCTTATTATGGAGAATTTCAAACATATACAAAAATATACAGAGTAGTGTACTGAACCCCCCGTCCTCATCACACAACTTCAACAGTCACTCAGCTCATGCCCAACCTTGTTTATCTGTGCTTACATACACTTCTCCCTTCCCATATTATTTTGTAGAAAATTCTATACATCACATCATTTCACCCATAAATAACTCAAGGGTGTATCTTAAAGGATAAGGACTTTTTTTTTTTTTTAGCATAACACAATCCCGTTGTCACGTCTAAAAAATTAACAATTCTTGATATCAAATACCCAGTGTTCAAATTTTCTAATTTTGATATATGTATTTTTTTTTCTTTTTTTCTTTTTCTTTTTCTTTTTTATATTTTTGTCTTTTTTCCGTGTCCGGCAACGGATCGCAACCCTCAGTGTTGCCCCCGTACCGGACCGGGGACCGGCAACGGGATCGCAACCCTCGGTGTTGCTCCCGCGCCTCGCTCAGCCAGTGAGCCGGAGCCGGTCTGTATGTGGGATCCAAACCCTCGGGCGGGAGCGCCGCCACGCTTCCCAAGCGGCGCACTATCCAGTGCGCCACTGGGCCGGCTCTTCTTTTTTTCTTTTATGTCATATTTATTATAAGTTTGTTTGAATCAGGTTCCAAGTAAGGTCCTCACATTGCATTTGTTTGATATGTCTTTTAAAAATCTTTTATTTATTTTATTTTTATTTTTTATTATTTTTTTGCTAGCTGGTTGGTAAGGGGATCCAAACCCTTGACCTTGGTGTTAGAACACTGCACTCTAACCAACTGAGCTAACCATCCAGCCCCTAAATATCTTTTAATCTGTAGGTTCCTCATTCATCTTTTTTTTTTCTCCTTGTAATTTATTTGACAACATAATTAGGACTCTGGAATTTTCTACCCTCTAGATTTTGCCAATTACACCACCATAGTATAGTTTAATATGCTACTCTGATGGGACTGCCTTTAATGAATCAAAAAGCACTGTATCCACTGGTGTATTTTCTCATATTTTTTGAGAAGTTGTTTCCTTGTACATAGTTGACGGGTTTGCAAGAATTAATATAAGATGCTCCGTACTGTGTTGTCACCTTGCACTCTGTCACTGAGCCCTTTGGTGTCATCCAGACTGTGCCAGTATTACCACAACTGAGACTGACCCACAGCCTTCATCCTACTTCTGGGAGCTCACCAAGGCTCTTTCACTCCTTCCATTAAATTATACTTATATTTGTAACGTGTTTGCCTTCAGCTGATATGCATATTCACGTAAATTTTATGAGTTAATGTTCTTTCATGTGAATCATTAATATTTCTCAATTAACCATCTCCATGTATGAATTTCTTGAGAGTATTTGGTTTGCGTAAGAGCAAATTCAGTTAGAAACTTAATCGGAAAAGTGCTCAGATTTTATTTATTAAGGGTCAATTAACAAATCCTTCTGTTGAAAATCTCTCTAAAATATGCTCCTTCTCCTTCCTGCCTCAGGAAGAGTTCATTGTATATACCTGACTCTTTCTTTGATAAATTGGGGGTCTTCCAAGATATTAGAATCCCGGTTTTGACATCCATCATCATGTGTGGTTAGAATAATAATAACTTCCTATCTGTGAGATGTGTCATTATAAACATCGATGTTTTCATGCAATTCCCCAGAGCCTGTGTTGCTCTTTTGAGTTAGAAAGAGGCACCCCTCAGAGCAGAAGACAGAGAATTAGAGGCCACCTGCTCTGGCCATAGTGACACCCCTAGCCCACAACCAGTAGGAGCTGCTTTTTGTATGAGCACTAAGGTGCCCCTTCCTGGTTGAATCTGGGCTGCATTTCAGCCCCCGCCTGCCCCCGTGGCCAGCTGCCGTTTTGTTCATAACCACAAGCAGCAGCCCTGTAGGACACCTATAAAAATTTTATTAAAAAAAAAAAAGTTGTTAGTCCCCCAAACTAAAGAGCCACCTATACAGCAGAAGTAGCAGGAAATTAGTCATAGCAAAGAAGTAACAGTAGTAGATCATATATTCCATTGGTAGGTATTTACAAAGTGTCAAATTCAACTCATTTATTAAAAAAAAAAAAAAAAGATTCTGGTGTTCTGGTGTTGCAGTTGTTTCTAAATGCTCTTTTTAGCAGTTTTGTTGAGCTATAATTCACATACTGTACAATTCATCCATTTAAAGTGTACAATTCATTGGTTTTTTTTTTTAATTCACAGAGTTGTTCAACCATCACCACAGTCAATTTTAAAATATTTTTGTCACCCCAGAGAGAAACCCCATACCCATTAGCAGTCATTGCTCATTCCCCTTGCCCGTGACCCTTGGCAACCATAATCTACTTTCTGTCT